GCATTGACGAATATAAAGGTAAAAAGAACAGCATTTATTTGCAATAGAAATCTTTTTGAAACTGTCACTTTTTATCAATTTAATGCATCATTGCTGAATAAGAGTTATCTGGAAACCTCATTTCTTTCACTAAAGAAATTAATAACATCTTACTTCAAATTTTGAATAGCATTGTGCTTTTCCGCTTGCGGAGGATCAACGTTTTCCATTTATTGTTGTTGCTGATATCAAAGGCTCCAAACTTTGCTGCATTTTGCTCAAATTCAGCTGTCACTCGGCTATATTTAGTTCAAGTAAAATATTTTGTTCAGTGCTACATACAGTATGTAAGGGTTTTGTGGTTCATAGTAACATTAATATATGCCAGACTTATTTTAAAGACCTTTTTGAGAAAAAAAAATGCCTTTAAAATGTTGGGGAAAAGTTACTTTTAAAAGTAATTCTCCGTAAAAAAACAAACAACTAATTGCAACTTTTACTGAAATTAATGCGTTACGCTATACTTTTGCGTTATTTGTTTCTCACCTGGGCTGGCCTTGCTTGTTTGTTTTTTAATAACAAAAAAAGTTTTTTAATAACAAAAATATTTTTGCCAAATGTAAAGGTTTTTTCACACCAAAAGTTAAATGAATAATCGTGAGGCTAAAGGAAATATGAATTCTGTACAATAGAGGTCAATAAATGGGAAAACGAAGCAATGCATTACTTAAATCGTTACTTTAAAAAAGTAATCTGATTACATAACTCAAGTTACTTGTAATGCTTCACATCAACACAGAAATATCTAATTACTAAAAATCAATCTGTAAGGTAGCATCAGTAAAGGGTTGAGTCCTTTGAACAGGCATGACTGAATAGAAAACACTTATGATATCTCCAAATGTATATGGTCAGAGATTAATAGCTATTCTGAGACACAAGCTTATGACTGCATATACCATTGGCTGGTCTAGCCAATTTTTATTTTTATTTTTAATGCTGATTGAGCACAAGAAACAACATTTATGGGACAGGTCATGTCAGATTTTGTTGCTGATTTGAAATATGTTATTTAATTGTGAATTCAGAGAGCTTTTTTTGTTTTGTTTTCAGTACTAGCAAATATGGCCGCCGAGTGAACAGACTTTTCTTGAAAGGGACTTTGATGCGTATCTTTCTGTTGATGGAGCAAAGATATACTGAACTCCTTTGGAAATGGAGCTAGTTTGTGAAAGTAAAGAGATCATTAGTCTCATTCACGAATGGTGACATGTGGCCAGAGACGCAAGTCATTTTGCTTGAGCGTTAATGAATTCCATTAAGATCTCGAATGTGAAAGGCCAGAGGCACAGAATGTGTTTTATGGCAAACACACACACAATCAGAGTCTTCATACATAGCTTTAAATGAACATTTGCATCAAAATAAATCAATGTGGAATTAATTAATGTTGATTTCTTGATTTACAATTTGTTGCAAAGACCCTGTGAAATTGTACATAAAGTCTGTGGAGATAAGAAATGAGGTCTATAGGGAACACTTTTAATTTGCATTATTATTGGAAAGTTCCAGTTTCAAAACAATTTAAGCTCTATTGTCAGCATTTATGAGCTATGAAAGCTTGTTTCTACTATGGAATAAAAAAAACGAAACAAGTAAAAATATATATTTTTTTCTTGTTTATATGTCGCAATCAGTGTTTGGTGTAATGCATTACTAAATAATTAATTACTAATTACTTTCCCCTTGGAAAAAGTAAAGCAAGGGATTACTTTTTCCTGTAATTTAATTACAGTCACTTCTGACGTTATTGCAATATATAGCCTACGGTATAGTCTATAGAACAATTCTGTATAAAACAATAGTGGATTAAACATCAAATGTTCAATGATAATGTTCAAAATGTATGTTTTCAGTGTAACATTGTCCCTTTAGTCATTCATGAATAATTTATAAAAATGTTATTTTTTTGATAAACTTCAAAGAGCAGCATGTTTATGATTGTTTTGTCTGGTTGTTGTTTATATGGAATTTAGAATGTAATTAGTAATAAATAACGCAATACATTTTTTGGGAGTAATTCGTACAGTAATATATTATACTTTTGGAGATTATTTACTATTATTTAAATTATTTGCTATTATTTAGTAATTTACACAACACTACCCGCAATTCAGACTTTCTAACTCATTTACGATAAAATACAAGATATAAACTCGCAAATGTGAGAAAAAAGTCAGAATTAGCAATTGTGAGTTAGCAATTATTTATATCTCAATATAAAAACATTCTGGATTTTTTCAAAATTTTTCAATTCTGAATTTTTTTTTTAAATAAATCTGAATCTTGAAAAATAAACTCACAATTGAGTCTTTATTTCTCAGAAACGTTAGATATAAACCTGCAATGTGTGTTATAACATCCAAATTGTGCGATAAAAAATCCAGAAAAAAACTGCAATATAGAAACTTGCAATTTGAAAAACAAAACAAAAAACAAATTAGAATTGTGAGTTTATATTTTGCAATTCTAACTTTATCATATCTAAACTTTATTTAGATATCAACTCGAATCCAAATTGCGATATAAACTCGTGAGAATTGTAAGATAAAAAGTTGCAATTACTGATTTTTATTCCCTGCGGAAAAAAGCTTCCGAGGCCTGCAGTTGATTAACGAGCCCAATCACATGAAAGTTCGTATCTATAGCTTGAATGTCATTTCTCGTGGCATTTATTTTTGCGTGTATATGGTACGCGTTTTTCGTGTGCATATGATACGCACTTTTTGGCGTTTTTGGCAGGGTTTTTTAGTGCGTAGCATAAGCACGCAAAAAAACATTTTTGCCGTATAAATGCCACGAGAAATGACATTCGTGGTATAGATACACATCTTTTCATGAGACTGCGTTGTGATTAACACACAATACAGTTACAGTTCATCCATCAGTCAGCATAAAGAAGCATAAATTGTGTTTATAATAATGCAAGGCATTCTGCATGGTATTCTGCTATTTTTATTATAGCAATAATTTAAAAATTCTGCATTTGTTTTGAACTGGTGACGTTCCTTAAAAGTATGAACTGTGTTCTAAATACAGACGGCACCGGAAATACTATCCGCATACGAGCGCTGTCATCTCATTTTGCAACTCATGTTCACTCTACTCCCAGCGGGATATGGTGTGGGTGGCATAAAATATGATTAGATTTAAAAAACAAATTACAGTTGCTAATAATTAAAATCAGTTCCCTTATGGGAGAGCAGGCTAAGGAAATCTGACCTGACAAATAGTTAGAACACATCGAGGTGAAACATTCAGCACAGTGAAACAGACGACCAAGCTGAAAAATCAATGGTTCACCAAAAAAAAAAAAAAACACAAACTGCACAAAGCAAAATAAAACATGTTTCTCAAAAGGCCATACCATGCACACACTGATGACATATAATAACATGTTTTTATGGGAGCGATTTAACAGTCACTGCTGCAACTCAGTTTTAGCGAGTTAAAAACTAGTTTTTTTTTCCTTGTACTCATAGCTTTGTGTTTACGCCTTTCAAATGATCTACTACAAGGACACTGAGCTATCTTCAAGAATTGAGTGCTGGTTTCTGAAGATGCAGTCTGTCAGCTTATTGGAGATAATAACTATAAAAAGAACTAAAAAGAACTAAAGCATGCTTGAAAAATAGTCTTATTTACAGTATATACAGTGAAATACTTATGCAATAAAGTGCAAATGAATTACTTAAAAATCATACAATGTGATTTTCTGGATTTTTGTTTTAGATTCCATCACTCACAGTTGAAGAGTACCTATGATACCAATTACAGATTTCTGCATGTTTTGTAAGTGGGAAAACCTGCCAAATCAGCATCAAATACCTGTTCTCCTCACTGTGTGTGTGTGTGTATATATATATATATATATATTAGGGCTGTCAAATGATTAATCGCGATGAATCGCATCCAAAATAAAAGCTGTTTACATAATATACTGTATGTGGGTGCACTGTGTATAATTATTTTGTATATATATATATATATATACACACACACACACACATAAATGTATATTTAAGAAAAAAATATTTAAATATCAAATATTTATGTTTATATATAATATAAATTATATATAAACCTTTATACAGTATATACATGAAAATGTTTATTAAATATACACAAGCATGTGTGTGTATTTATATATATAAAATAATTATACACAGAGCACCCACATACATTATGTAAACACAAACTTTTATTTTGGATGCGATTAATCGCGATTTATCGTTTGACAGCCCAAATATATATATATAACATATAATATATATATATATATATATATAATATATATATATATATATATATACACACATGTACTATTTAAAAATATTTTTTTTTTCACTAAGGCTCAACTATTTTAAGGGTCTCTAATAAAGCTAATATGTAGATGTAAAAAATACATAACGATTTACTTGGTTACACCACTTGACATTTAATGTTAAAAATGGCCTTCAGAAATGTATGAAACTGACACAAATTTGTCGAAAAAATGCCTATATTAAGATTTCCTTACATTACATTTGATTAAAAAAATACCTGAAACTGACACAAATGCAAAAAGGACTGTATACATTTCTAGGAACATGCATTTTAAACTACATTTGAAAAAAGATATTTCCTTTTCGTCATCCTATAAACTGTATGCCTATCCTTGTGCCATTGACCCTTCTATATTTCTAACTTTTCCAGATGCTTCTTAACTGAAAAGCGTTTCCTTTCCGTTTTTCCTTCATTTCCTTTCACTGATGCCAGTAAGTGGGTCTTGTGTGAATGACAGCACCATGGAGCACCATGACATTTCACAAAGATCAGCAGTGCTCCCATGCAAGGCAATGGCTCCCAGCTCATGCTATGGAGGAGGTTAATTGGCGTAACCCGACCCACCACTCCACAAGCCACATTACAGCGCCCTGTCTCGCAATGATGATGTCAGCACTCCAGCAAAAAATATTTACCTGTAGTTGTACCTGGGAAATCTTTAGCTGTTGCCATGGACGCAGACAGAAAGGGGCAGTAAGGGAAGACAAGGGTGAGGACATCACAAGGGGAGAGAATTAAAAAAAAAAAACTGGCCACAAAACTCAAAACCATTAATGAAGACACTAACCGACAGCATTAACCTGCAGTCAGAATGATGGAACATGGACGACTGGGACGACATAATGGTTTCAAATGCAGTTTTGTACAAACTAACACATCCTGCAAAACACATCCATTTGGCATATTCATAACTATACATTCTTGCTAATCTCTGGTGTCTGCTTCGTCCCGCTGCTCTGCTCTGTAATGATGTTACTTATCATGTAAATCGCTCTATATTTCAAGCCTCTGAAGCTGAAGATATTTTCTACTGCATTAATACCAGTTAAGTCATTTACAGTTACTAGCCTCTTTATCTTACACAGATAAAAAGAACGGGCATGACAAATTGGGACAATTGGTCTCATTCACTAACTGCAGAGAGTTTGTGTGTGAAATATGATTCATCGATCACTTATGTTTGTTTACACGACAACAATGTACTTTAAACAGAAACCAATTTCCTTTGTGTTTTTCGCGTAAAGACGACAACGTTGTCTCGCAACAGATCTGCGAAAACGAGTAAAAAACACTGCATTCTGTTGCCAGGCCAGTAGGTGGCGATGTCACTTTGTAAGGAAACACTACGCGCCTATAGACTGAACATGTAATATTAATGCGCATGACGTCACCGTTTTCACAAATTCACGTTTTTGTAGATTACACAGAGACGATAACGGTATTGGTTTCAAAAACTTGCACTTTAAAACCTGTTTTCAAAAGTTTGTGTTTTTAGGCCCCAAAAATGATGGTGTTCGTGTAAATGAATGGGCAAAACGTATAAGATATTTTCTGTTGAAAACATTGCCATGTAAACGGCCCCTTAAATTTATTGTAATCTTATGGGGAAAAAACACATAGAAACAACTGAAACCACACATAGGCCTATTCAAAAAAAGTGTGATGCTTAGTTTGACACTATGTTTAAGTTGGTCATCTGTTGACAAACAGATACTTCATACATGCTATTGACAATGGACCTTTTTCAATTGAAATTTCACAAACATGTTTCTAAAATGACCACATGCACCTTAAAGGAGTACTTTACCATTGGCAAAATGGGCTTTCGATAAAACTTGGCAGCCTACACAGTAGAAAGGTGAAATTTATTTTTGAAATCTTTGAATGTTTTAAATTTAGATTTTCTTCCCTTTTGCCAAATTGCTAGGAAAACTTCAACACCCATGATGCACTGGGCATGTTGTCGTCCAAGGCCACTCCCACCAGTCTGCTATGGATAAGCTTGACCAGAGTAAAATACCGCCTTGTTTTAGTAGGAAATAATTCTTTGCAAACTTTCAGTCAGTGTTGTGCCTGAACGCGTTCAATGAATGATAGGCCTAGTTCATGAACTCGTTCATATTTTGGGCGAACGTGAACTGAACTGCCTGATGAACGTTACTGTGAACTCGTTCATTCTGGTGTCTGTGAACGTACGCTCTGTCAGTTTAACTTTGTACAATAGGGTGCCAGATCCCAGGAAAAACTCACTGTAAACAGGCCTTAATATGTAGCGAAAAGCAACAGCAGGCACCAGTGTTGCACCGTGGCCGCCGTCGACAAAGCAGCGAGCGAGGAGGCGTCATATGATAATTGAAAGGGGTTAGGTGAGAATGGTAAAAATCTTACATTTCTGTGAAAACTTGGCCCGTCGATAAAATAATTGTTGTCTGTGGTTGTATATGGGCTGTGGCAATAATAATAATAATAATAATTTAGAAGCTCGCAACATATGGAAAAAAAGAACCATGAACTAGTTCATATTTTGAAGTATGAACTTTTAAAATGTGTGGACTGAACTTTGAACTAGTTCATGTAGAAAGTGAACTTTCCCAACACTGCTTTTAGTCATAATGGTGTCAACTTGTATTGTTCCAGGGTGCAAGAACTCAAAGAGCAAACGTTTAGCGGGAGTGCGTTACTTTCGGTTTTACAGGAGGCTAAAGGCTGCAAAGAATCCTAAAAACGGAGAAAACACTGACGGAAAATCTGAAAAACCTGCAGGTTTGTTGTGAACATTTCAAACTGGAAGACCACGAACACAGAAATGGACGTGAAAAACTGAAATAAACTGCCGTTTTGTCATTTACGCCCGAAGTAAAACGCAGTCACCTACAGGTAAGAAAGTTGCTATTGAGTTCCATTTTTACCGTAAAGACAACCCGATCTCACGACCAAGTCGTACGAATTTGACGAATGATTAAAAAGTGGCTAATTCGTAACAATCCATACGACCTCACTCGTACGAATTAATACGATTTTGCTAAATCGTACATATTTTACGAATTGGTCAATTCGTATGAATTCATACGAATGACCTACCCCTTACCCCGCCCCTAAACTTAACCATCACGTGGGTTTAGACAAATCGTACGAATTAGTACGAGTGAGGTCGTACGAATTAGTACGAATTAGACACTTTTTAATCATGCGTCGAATTCGTACGAATTGGTCGTGAGATAGTGTTGGTAAAGAGTAGACAAAATACAATTCCATTTTCAGTGATAAATACTCTTATAATAACTGTTAATAATCTTCTTTCAATCCAACTGGCGATACAAAATACGCAAGTACAATCCGTAGTTTTCACAAAAGCTGTCAAAAATTTACTGGATGGTGTGCTTCGTGTCATCTGGTGGACTTTTACTGACAAATATACGTGAATTCCTCAGTCCAGGTAACACTGAGAACTAGTAATCATTGTTTATTTACCTATACTACCAACATTACAACAATACAAAGTGGGTTGAAGTTACACTAAAGAGAAGTTGCGCTATAGCTTGAGCCGTGAGGTTAATCTGTATAACAAAGCAGATATGCTTATGTGCATCTTTAGAGTGTGTCATATGTTTGCTGTATTCGATGAACATCTGCAAAAAAAAAAAATATATGGAAAGCCCTTATATGGAATTTGGGTGTGTTTTATGCAAATGACTAACCTCTTGCACACGGTCGCTCAATACTCCGAATTCATTTGTATCAGACCAAGGTTAAGAACAAATTCATGTGCATATGCATAATGTGAATTAGGTCGATTTTTTTTTGTCCTGTGCATACAAAAACCAATAATCCACGCATTAACTAGTGAATGAGACCCAACATTGCTTGTCCCCATGTACTTGTTCGTTCACACTGGAGAATCTGCCCTTCGATTTAGTGAAACAGAGCTTATGTGTGATTAGAAAGACCTTTTATCTCTCACCTCTTTGACAGTCTGACAACCAGAATTTCATCTGCGGCTGGCTTTTTTCCCCTCAACACTGGAGCCAAAAACCTTTTAGTCCAATTTGTACAATCAGGAAAAAAAAGAATGTCTGATGTAAAAAGGTGGAGGTGACGTGAAGTGGCAGCGAGAGAGATGGAGGAGAGGAAAATATCAACATTCCCGCTATAGTTCAAACACTGTGTGACTGTTCACGGCTCATTTCTGCTGCGGGCTGAGTGCGTTTCCCCCAGGGTTTCTGATGTGGGTGACAAGAACGTGTCTGGGGCTTATTTCACCTCAAAAGAAGTACGAAATTATATTTTGTTTAAAGAACATTAAAGGAGTAGTTCACTTTAAAAAAAAAAAAAAAACTTTTGCTGATAATTTACTCACCCCCATGTCATCCAAGATGTCCACGTCTTTCTTTCTTCAGTCGAAAAGAAATTAAGGTTTTTGATGAAACCATTCCAAGATTTTCTACATATAATGGACTTCAATGGGAACCAAATGGTCTAAGGTCCAAATGACAGTTTCATTGCAGCTTCAAAGGGCTTTAAACGATGCCAGATGATGTATAAGGGTCTTATCTAGCGAAACGATCGGTACTTTAAAAAAATAAATAAAAACGTTTAATAAGCTTCAAACGCTTGCCTTGCTCTGTTCTGTGATGCACGTTCGTGACTCTCCTATTTGAACTCGTTTATCAAAATTAATGAATCTTTTATCTTATAAAACTTAAACTTTTTTATTTATTTTTAAATGACTTATCGTTTCCCTAGATAAGACCCTTTTTCATCGTCTGAAATCGTTTAAAGCCATTTGAAGCTGTAATGAAACTGTCATTTGGACCTTAGACCGTTTGGTTCCCATTGAAGTCCATTATATGTAGAAAATCCTGGAATGTTTTCATCAGAAACCTTAATTTCTTTTCGACTGAAGAAAAAAAAAGACATGGACAACTTGGATGACATGGGGGTGAGTAAATTATCAGCAAACGTTTTTTTTTTTTAAAGTCAACTAGTCCTTTAAGCCTATTTTTAGCGTTGTTGATGGAGATTTCCGAAACGTGCCCCTAGTGGCCATTGAGGGTAGCACAAGTTCCAAAATATAAACAAGTTTGGGATCAGTAATTTTCTTCGAAAAGTAGTCTCTTATGCTCAGTAAAAACAGTAATATTGTGACATTTTACATAAATATTACAATTTAAAATATTCATTTACTATTTTAATATATTTTAAAATGTAATTTATTCATGTGAAGAAAAAAGGTGAATTTTCAGCATCATGACTTACCGCAATTACTTGATTTTAACTTGTAAAAAGCGTTCATATCCTTGAAGAGCTCGTAATTACAGCTCTTATTTGTACCAGCTGCCTGCTGCAGATTCATTTAGGTACTGATAAAGTTGCCATAGAAACGCATAATTCCCAGTCCGAGGACGCGAACAGCTCCAAATATAACGTCACATGTTGTCAATTCAAGACTATTGTAATTAACACATGGCTAAATGCTGTAATACGAAGAAACATTTCTTATTACTATCAACGTTAAAAAAAGTTTTGCTGCTTACTGTTGTTGTGGAAATCGTGATTCATTTTTTTTTCTCTCAGGATTATTTGACGAATAGAAAGTAAAAAAAAAACGTATTTGAAACAAAAATCTTTTGTCAAATTATAAATGTCTTGACTGCCACTTTAG